TCGCCTCTCAGAAGCTACTGAAAATAATATACAATTTTGGGGATTTGGGATAATTGCTAGGTATTAGCAGAAAAAGAATTAGATATTTGATTTTTCAATTTTATGCCATCTATGTATTTTTTTACATAGAGGTTCTTCTTGTTGAAAAAATAGTAGTGAATAATAAGATAAATGCTGTGGAAAGGCAAGCCTCCTTTACCTACTTCTCAATGTGACTGATAATGCAAAAACAAACAACCAGAAAAGACAGTTGAGAATAACAAGGTAAGTGAGCCAATAATACTGAGAAAAAAGGAATTTGTAAGGAGACAAGGTAACACTATACTTAGATCTATCATTGTGTTAAAGTTTTGTTTCATAATTCAGGGAAAGTTACTTAGCCTATCAGACTACTTAAGATTTCTTTCCTATCAAAACCAAATAGGTACCTTTTGTTTTTCTGTGGGAGAAATGATATCACTTTAAGCATAGAGGTTAATGCCTAGCATATAGGAACTGCTAAAAATAGGCCAGATTTTTAATTAACTTTGGAATTTTTATTAAAAGTAATTGAGACTGACTCTTACTTCTAGATATGACAAACTTATTCTATGTCATGTCTACTACTAATACCAAACAAGAAAAACAGATTAAATATGAAAAGAAAAAAAACCCAGAAATTTAGAGGTGACCATCAAATCTCATGGCTTGAAAGGTCAAGACCTGGAGACATGGAGAAAAACATTCACAGAGGCAAAACCACTTCTACTTTCCCTGAAGGCACCTGTCAGTCATAGACTTTCCAGACTGAGAGCCTGGAAAGATAATAGAACTTCTGATGAGAAAAAGCGGCTTCCAGTGTCTAAGGCAAAAAGTATACAGATATTTAGGCTCCTTTAGTTATAGCTAAAGGACTACAGCCCTAAAGTCAAGGCTACATAGCAGCCCACTAGCCTCAAATCTGAGTAAGTCTCCACTGAGAGAGTGAAGTATTTGTCCAACCTCAGTGACAAACCAGGAAAGTGCTCTCTAGAGGAAGATAACATTATAATCCTAAACATATCACTCAGTACCATATAAAGAAGGCCAAACATTTGATCAGAAATTACCATGCAAGAAGGCACGACTGATGAGAGAAAATTTAGAGGAAAAAGACTGAGGGATAAATATACAAAGAGATTCATATGATTACAGACAAGAGTGAGTACAAACTGTGAAAGGGATGTTATATTCAGAGACATAGATAGATGTATTGTTAGTAAGGTGTTTGATTTTCTCAGGTAAATCTGTAGTTGGTAAAACGTAAAAAAGTATGTCTAGATTGAACAGTACAGTTCAGCAGCAGTTGGTAACTGAAAAGAAATATATGGGTTTTCCTAATTTGGCTTTACCACAAGTAAATTGTTTTGATGTTAGCTAAAATAAGCAGCCAGATGACTATAAGAACCTGCAATTTAAAGCAGGATTTCAAACCTTTGGTTGAATAATGCAACCTACCACCTCAGAAAAAGGAACTATCTGAAGGAATCTATGCTGCTACTTCAGCTCTCATGAGACAGCTGCAGAGAACAGCTGGGCACTGCTGAAGAAACAGTGAACGCAATGAGCAAATTCATACCCATGCACAGTTTAGGGAGCAGCAGCGATTCCCTAATTCAGTCCTATCAGAAGCAAGATTATTATGGGAGGTGAAAATGGATTTTCTAATTTATTGATCATTCCTTATCTACTCAGCACTGTGAAAAATTAATGCCGTTGAAAATGAATATTCTGGAAGCTTGCAGACATGGAGGCCATGTGAGTGGTTGGCATGCGTGGCACAATTGTCACTAAAAGAATCATATAATGAGAGCAACGGAATTCAATTTTTGCATGAAAAGCATTATTAGATTTAACTTGCAATGGAACTAAGTCCGATACTTGTGAATTTATTCAAGGAAGATTTTTTTCTTCTCCCTTACTCCAAACACAGCACAATCAAACAAAGCTGTCCTCAGCATGTAAAAAGCAAGTAAGGACAGAGGGAATTGTGCTTACTTTTCTCTTTACAATTTCAGTTCTTGATTCAGGGTACATAGAATTTTATTATTTACAACACATCTTGTTTCAATCATGGCTTTACAGACTAACAAAAATAGCTCTAATGACTATCCTTATGTTTGTACAGAGTGGTAGAGCACAATAGAAAGGATTATTAACAGAAACTATTGATAAGGATTTATTGAAAACACAAATAAGTTGGTTTATGAGTTGTTATCATAGTCTTTTGGTGTGTGTGTGGGGGGGGGAGGTCAAGAGGCTGGGAGCACCAAATAAAGAGATCTTATGCTAGACTATACTTTATCTAATTGTGTGTCTTAAGCACATCATTTGATTCTTTTTGATTCAGCTTTGTATGTTATAAATAATGATGTAAGACATAGTTTTATAATCAATCCACAAGCATTCATTGCACACCTTCTCTGATGCTTTGATGAAACAATGAAGTTATATAGTATCCAGGGATCATTGAACGGCTAGATACTACATGTGTAGTTGAACAGCTAGATACTACAACTGTAGGTGAACATTCAGGTGCTACCTGTGCATTTGAACAGCTGGAGACTATATGTGTAGTTGAACAGCCGGCTGCTACATGTGTAGTTAGTTGAACAGCTTATAATACATAGCACTTTGTAAAAGGTGATAAACTTTGTAAAGCACTATTTTTTTTTCTTTTGGTGTCACAAACATTTTTCTTAAAGTGCAGGGAACATCTAGTTGCTACCCGAAAGGCAGTTTATGTGTGTAGGCACACATATGTGCATGTGTGTGTGAAAGTCAGAGGTCTTCCGCAGATGCCATTCTTAGGGAACAATTCACCTCATTTTTCTAAAGAGGATCTCTCAGTGGCCTGGAGCTTGCCCAACAGTTTAGGCTGGTTGACCAGTGAGACCTAGGAATTTGTCTGTTTCTCCTTCCCTAGTCTTAGACTCATAAATGTATACCACCACACATTTTTTGTTGTTGTTGTTAACACAGGTTCTGGGGAATCAAACTTAGGGCCTCGTGTTTGCATGGAAAGAACGTTATCAACTGAACCATCTCCCTAGCTCTGCAAAGAAACTCTTATTTTGGAAAATTTTACAAAATAAGATTCAGAAACATATTTTTCTTGTGTTTTTGAAGATGGGTCCTAGGACTTTGTTTATGTTAGACAAACATTCCAGCACTGAGCTACATCCCTTTTAACAATATATTTTACACAGAGAAATGTATGACAATTATCAGAAATAAAAGGAAAAAAACTGCTCTCCAAAAAAAGGGTAGAAAGGCAAATAACAGCCAGCAAAGCACTTCTGTGAACTCAGGACAGAGCAGAGATGTGTTGCCCCAGTCCAGTCCAGGAAGTCAAGCAATATCAAACTGCTTGTCAGTATAAAAGTCCCCATGGCAAACCACAAAAACCACAAAAGGAATTTTTCTTTGAATAAAATGGACAAACATGGAAAAAAAATAGAAAAGCCAACTGAGAACAGAGAGGGAACAGAAGAATTAGCTTGAACCCTGCAAAGTGAGACAGGCCTCAAGAAGCATGTGAGTAAGATGGCAACTTAGATTATGACCACAGAAGACAAGGCCAGGATAAGAACACAAGTGTTGACAGGGGGTAGGATGGAAGGCATCAGACTTACTGACCATGATCTCTTCAGAAACAGTTTAAACCAACAGTGATAATTAAAACAATTGAAAACTACCATTCCTGGGTGTTGCACTGACATTCCAGCAAACCCCTGAGGGTACAATAAACCCTGGTATGCATGAGCCCTCTAAGATCTCTTCTCAGACAACTATTCCTATCTTCCAGGGAAGGTGACATAAGACTGCAGTGGGCAATGATATCTAGATCTAGCTCTGGACAAAGCAATTTAGATAAGGACATATCTCATACCATTCTCCATCTGCAGAGTGCCCCAAGGAAATAAAGTTCAGTGTGGAAAATCTTTTCCAGAGAATGAAAATAACCAACATAGTCAGTAACTTTTAAGAAAATTGTTTTAACCAACATAGTCAGTAACTTTTAAGAAAATTGTTTTATTTAATTTTTTTTATAATGTTCACTTTTTGGCATAGATAGATTTCATAGAGATGGCCACAGTGAATCCTGTCTTTATTATCCATAATCTTTTGACAACGAGGGATTCTTTTATCAAAAGAAAAGACAATTCTCAAATTGAAAGGAAGATATAGATCTGTATGACAACTACACATTAACTATGGTTTAACCACACCCACTAATAATTTACATTGTCAGAATTACTCGTGTAACCACCAAGTGCCTTAAATTTACATCCGCTGCCCTTGTTACTTTATTTGTATATCCTTCATCTAGGAGACCTCCATTATACTGTCTGGAGAGTTTGGAATCAAGTGCTTTGTTATTATAGTCTAAACATCCTACAGAGCTTATGGCTACAATTTAGTAAATTCCATTTGTCAGTTTGTTAATATGAAATAAGATACAATTTAAGTTCTCTTGTTCCGTTGGTCAGTAAGGCCCTAATAATTTTAAATCTACTCAAATCTAAATCTATCAGATTTTAATGAACATTAGCCAGAAAAATTATAGGGGTTACTTTCCTGGCACTCTGAATACTACATTACCCATTTTCATGTCAACTAATATTTGGAGATCAGAGTAAAATAAGAATCAACAGGCCAAGCCCAACAAACCTAAAAATATGAATAATTATAGAGAGATAAAAAATTCTTAAAAAGTCAGTTTCTTTTCTTAGATTTTTCTGATAATGCTATAAATATTCAATAATTTCATAAATTTTTGGACCATAATGTCAATAATATCAGAAAATAAAATAAAACAATATCCCAAATTTCAACCTATAATCCTAGGTAAAAAACAAGGTATCTTTATTTAGCAAACGAAACCAGGCAAATTATTTGAAGTTCCTGACAACAATATCTTGACATTTCAAGGATTGATCATGGGCAACAGGAAGAAACATCTTAAACTTGTCACTTACTTCTTTGTATCCAAAGATGATGCGTCCATCCATAAGGAGTGTTGCCTGGAATGTGAAGCTGCCCAGGTTGTAATTATCCTGCAGGTGGACATGGTCCCACTGGACAACAAGTGCTGTGCCTGGAACCCAAAAGAAGAATGGAGTAACTCCAGGAGAAAAACACATGAGCCAATTCTGGAAGAACATCCATAGGCACATTTATCTAGATATCAAATCAGGTCATTATGCCATTTCAATTTTATATGGGCAATTGGGATTTTGTTACACACACACACACACACACACACACACACACACACACACACACACATATATATATATATGTATGCTATTTTTTATGTCTATGGGGCTTCTGCCCAGGATGGTGGAAGATAATTTCACTGATGTTAATGGATGCTATCTGCTTCAATTTCCATTTCCATGAGGAACTTTCTAAACAGCATGGTGAATTGAATGAATTTCAAATACTTTTGACAAATTCTAAGAAAGAACACTTTAGAAAAGCTAAGCACACACATAAAAACATAACAAAGCCTTTTGAAACTCACAAGTTTACTCTTCTACTGAAGGGGTCACTTTTACAGATAATGGGACTTCTCTTTTATATGGATTATGCCTGTGTTTCCTTCCATCTTTGCTGTTTTGCTTTCAGGAGCCTAGAGAGCAATCTACAGGGTCCTGGGCTGATTCCTGAAGCCCCCTTGAAGGACATGGGCTGAAACTGCTCTGGTGTACAACTTACTCTCGGGCATTAATCCTTCTGTCTTTATATAAAACTATTGAGGCAAAATGTGAATTTAAAAGTGTCACCAATGAGAATTCATGCTTTGGTTTCATTGACTTTTAACATTCTTTAAGAATACAATGAACAGCTATGACCTTCACTTAGCTCTAAATGTTGGTTTTTAATCTTTGGTTAAATATGTTACATATAGTATGTTTATAACAAATAAACACACACACACACACCCTGTATCCAAAGCATGCATGGCATTATAGAAACCCTTTACTTAAACACTGTCCGAGTGATGCTTAACATACCCAAATCATCACCAATTCGGGCTTAATTTAAAATACAGATAGTTTTTAAAAAATAACTTAATCATTTATTGATTCTTTGGGAATTCCCCATCCTGCATCCCAATTCAACTCACCTCCCAATCCCTCCATATGTGCCCTAACCACTGCAACATCCCCCAATCCCAGGTTAATTAAAAACAAAAAGCCACCTCACTCCTCCATCTTTGCAACACCTTTTCGTTAATATCTTATTGGCATTGGGAGTTATGGTGTGTTACATAGTATACAATTTTGTCCAATTAACCCTACCCACAAAATGTCCTTTGCAATGAGTTATTGGTCTGGTTCAAGGACTTTGTCACTCTAACATTACTGGACCCTCACCAAAACTTTTCTTGATATCGTGCTATTGTCCCAGAGGCTATTGTTTTGCAAGACCAATACTTTCACATTCTCCAACAGGTCATAGATGGGGTAGATGTTAAGGTTGACCAATCCAAGGACCGGGATGTGGGTCTGGGTGGTAGCTAAGCTGGTAGGTCCTGAGCACTGGGACTGCCCCCTTCAAGATGGGTACAACCAGCTCTCCTAGGCCTGTGTCATCAGGATCAAAGTCAGTCTACCATGCCTGTGGTGAGAAGTGGGGCCATTTTGCAATAGAATGGGCAGCTCTCCCATGAGGGGAAGAACCAGTTCTCTTGGTGCAGTGTCCAGAAAGAGCTAGGACCAACTATTCCAGGGCCAGTGAGGGGTAGGGTTGGCTCAGCACAGCCCTTGGATTTTAACACACATGGTTCCTGTGACCCTCTGTGTGGTACCATGTGCCATGGACATCAACACAGATCTCAGTTGCAGCAGGACCATGGACCTTGACATGGCCCTCAGCAGTACTTGGGACCAGACCTCATCATGCCCCACTTCTGTGGCAGCACAGGCTACCCAGATAAGAATGGCCTCAGTGACAGCATGGCCCTAGGATACCAAATGGTCTCAAGTTGCTGACCAGGCCCTGTGCATCTGCACAGCCCCCAGTGGCAACAGGAACCACAGACATCAATTCAGACTGTGGCTGCTGTAGTATCATGGACACAGACATGGCTATGGGCAGCAGCTCTGACCTGAAAGACACCATAGTCCCACGTGACAGCACAAGCCGCTCAGATCAGCAAGACCCTGTTTTCTAGTCTACAGAGTTCTCTGAAGTGAGGAGATGAAACTGTATCTTTTTTTCCAAAATCACCCTAGAGATTCTGAGGCATATGAAAGTTTTGAGATCCAGGCAAATCCTCGTGGGAGGATAGAAACCCATAGGACTGGTTTCATGAGTCTCAGAACACTTGGCCATTCAACTCCAGAGCATTATTCTAAACCCACAAGTCTGGTTCTACAGCAGTCCCTGTGCTTTCAATTGCAATGGCCAGCTTCCCATTTAGATCCAGGTAGTTATCTCTCTGTCAGTGATTCTAAACAATTTGTATGTTTCCTTGCTGTTTTTAAAGTTTGCTGTGCACTGGAATCACCTGGAGATGTCCCTAGACTGGGACCGGCTGGGACACTTGTCTATGGTTTCTGACTAATGGTTTGGACTAGGGCTGATAGTTTGTTTGGGTCATTTGTTTTTGCAATACTGGGGATTAAGCTTAGGCCATTGCACAAGTTATGCACCCACTCCACTGAGCTAGGTCACTTTTACTTCTTATTTGTGGATAAGGTTTCATTATGTTATTTAGGATAGACTTGAACTCACTCTGTATCACGGGTAGGTCACTATCTCAGTCTCCCCAAAAGGCAGAATTGCAGGCTTGGGTTGCTTGGTAGGTAACTGTTTGTACATCAAGCACATCCCCAGAGGATGCTGAAGCCTTTAAGGACTCAGGACCATAACTCTGTGTCTCTGCTACTATCCCAACCTCCTCTGTCAGACAACCTTATTACTCTGGGTGTCCCGCTAAGCCTCCATTGTCTACTGAGCAGGCTTCTAGGGCTTCTCTCATTCCTCCCACCTAATCCCACAGCCTTGTACTCCACACAGCCCCTAATATGTCTAGCAAAGCCTACAGGCATGGCTGCAAGGGCAGAGATGTGGTAAAGACAGTCATATAGTCAGGAGACTTAGACTTGATAAGATAGGCTACCTAGATACATTGGAGTAGAATAATGAGCAGGAATGGGAACAAGGTGGCAAAGGAACAGACAATAAAGGCCACACATACAATACTTGTCTCTGGGAATGAGGGAAGAAGTGATACTTGAATTAATTACAAGAAAAAAAGTCCCAAAACAAAATTATATGTCATAGAAACCACAAGCTCAGAGATCTGTAGACCAATTGTCTGGGAACAAAGGGGGGTGGTGGTTACAAAATAAAGAATGGGCAACAGTATGAGAATAGTAATCACCTAGTATTGTCATTAGCTTTGGGTACCATTTCCCTTCAAACCACCACATTCCACCCACAAAGCCTTGTAGCTGTATCATAATGGAAAACACAATGCATTCAGGCAACTTCAGAAGTCCTAATACTCTCATATACCAGTCTCAAACTTATTTAAAAGTCTTAAGTTCAAAACCTCTTCTAAGATTCATGCAATCTCTAAACTGTAACCCCCACAAAATCAAAATAAAAAGGCAGATTACGATTACATGCTTCCAACATAAAATGGCACAGGGTATGCATTACCATTCCAAAACATGAGGAAAGAAGCTTAGTGAGGAAATTTTAAAGCAAGACCAGAAACCAACTGGGCAAACTCCAAACTCTGCATCACCATGTATGATGTGGAAACATTCTTCAGATCTCCATCTCCTTTCATCTTGTTGATGGCAACATACTTCTTACTATTGTACTGGTTCCACTCCCTGTGACCAGCTTTCCTCTGCAGGTATCCCATGGCTCTGGCATCTCCAATATCCTGGAGCCTCCAAGACAATTCAGGTTTCAATTCCACAGCTTCACACAATGGCATTTCTAGGTCTCCATTCAGGGACAACTCTGACACATCCCTGGCCTCAACGTCTTTCCTTAATAGCAGAGGCAAATTGCAGAGTCCCTGTCTTCTATTCATAACTCTAAAGCCAGAATCTCATGGCCAGAGTTTCCAAGTTCTACCGTTTGCTGAGGGTGAAACATGTATCACTTGTTCAATTACATCCTCACCTACATTTTGGTTTTGAAGGTAACTTCTCTGCCTAAGCTTGGCTGACCTTTTACTTGCTTTTAGACCAGGATGGCCTCAAACTCAGAGATCCTCTAGCTCTTTTTCCCCAACACTGGGATTAAAGGCAGACATTAGCATACCACGCTGTAGATCTTTAATTCCTCTTTACAAGTTGGAAATTTATCTGGGTGAGATCTTGCCCCGAGATCACCATTCTTTTTGTTCCATTTATTAATCTGTTTATCTCCTTGAACACAGTACTTAGTTCTCTATTTTACTTTCTGATGCTCCTTTTTTTCCCCTTGGATTTTACACTTTATAATTTTCCTTGCTCAGTTTGCTTCTTTTCATTATAAATGTTCATTGAATTACCACTAATAACCACATGATGAAATCTATACTAGATTGTTTTAAGATTTCTTCTGCCAATGAAATTAATCCAAAACACTTCACTTCAGTCTCTGAAAGATAAGGGCAAAAAGCAGCCACATTCTTCAAAGTACCACAATAACAATCTTTGGCCACATATTAATATTCTTCACCCCTGAAACCTCTTGAGCCAGCACCCACAGTTCAACCACACTCAGCACCACTGTCTTCCATGTTTCCACTAGTATGGCCCATTAAGCAGCATTTAAAGAGTTCAACTGCTTTTCTAAGCCACAGTCCTATAATCCATATCCCTTCAAACAAAAGCATGGTCAGGCCTATAACAGTAATACCCTATAGTCCTTGGTACCAACTTTTTCTTAGAGTTTCTATTGCTATGAAGAGACACCATGACCAACCCTTATAAAGGAAGAACATTTAACTGGAGTGACTTACATTTTCGGAGGTTTAGTCTATTACCATCATGGTGTGACATGGTGACATGCAGGCAGACATGATACTGGAGAGACACCTGAGTGTCCCACACCTTGATTTGCAGGAAATTGTCTCAC